GTGTGTGTGTGAGAGAGAGAGAGAGAGAGAGAGAGAGAGAGAGATTTCCCCAACCCCCCCCCGAATAACTGGACTACAATTCCCATCATATCCGGCCAGTTTAGGGGATAATGGGACTTGGAAGCTAACATAACAATTGAGGAAAGCCGATTATTTCTTTTTCTTACCATTTTATCCCGGGGTTTCTGGAATATCTTCACATTTCCTAGATCCCATTATTACATGAAATATATTGACAGAAGGTTATTCCTCCTTAACCCACCTCCCTCTTCAATGGTGTTTGATTAATATACAATAGGATCCCCTTATTTGTAGGATCACTATCCACCAATTCACTTTTCCACATTCTGAAACTATTAAAAAATATTGAAAGAAAAATTCCCGGAAATAGATATATTTCTCATGATGAAGTTACCAGAGCACTGGCTCGGTCATCGTTGATTGCAAGTGTTACTTTGATCCTGAAATTAACATCAGCAAAGAAACGGTCAAGGAGACGTTTCAACGGGAGACGCGAAACGGGACCTCCCAGTGGCTGGGCCAGAGGTTTCAATTTAAAAGCATGACTGTGAGAGGTGCGTACGCCATTTTGAGGGCCACCAGTAGTGGCCATCTCGGCAACAGTCTTTAATGGACACCTGACACCCTTCTTTGGTCTGACAAAAAGTCCCGAATCTAAGGGGGACCAATGAGAGTGGCTCAATGGGTCCTACAGAAGCATTGACTTTCAAATCAGTGGGTCTACTGGAGGAGCCCTACAGCCCGCTTCCCTACTTACGTTACTCTCATTGAGCTCCACTGTTCCTCTCCGGTAGAGTAGGCCTAAGAATCCATGACACGTTAGTTTTGACCTACAGAGCTTCATCCAGAACTGCCATCTCTCCATGTAGACCAGAAATGCTGGACTACGACCTCTTTTGAATGACAACTCCCATTCTCCCCTACCACTGCCAGCTAGAGCTTCTCCAAGTTGGATATCCAGAACACCTAGAGAAGTGATTCCCAACCTTGGGTCTCCAGATGCTCTTGGACTGCCGTAAAGTCCTTGGGCGATGTGGTTGCAAAAAAAGGCCAATGTGACTTCAGGCTACATGAACAGAAGTCTAGTCTCCAAATCCCGTGAGGTTCTCATTCTCCTCTATTGGGCATGGGTTAGGCCTCCTCTTGAGTTCTGGGTCCAGTTCTGGACACTGTAGATCAAGAAAGATGCTGAGAAATTGGAAGAAGTTCAGAGGAGGCCAACAAAGAGGATCAGGGGGATGAAAACCAAGCCCCAGGAGGAGGAAAGACAGAAAGAACCGGGGCATGTTTAGCCTTGAGGAAAGGAGGAGAGGGAGGAGAGCATTTTTCAAATACCAGTGGTGCCTCGCTTAACGATTTTAATTGGTTCCAAAAAATTCATCGCTATGGGAAAACATCGCTAAGCAAAACGCGTTTTCCCATAGAGATGCATTGAAAACCGGATAATCTGTTCCAATGGGAATGGATTACCGTCCTTAAGTGAAAATCGCCACAGGAAACATCGCTAAGCGAAATGCAGTTCCCCCATTGGAATGCATTGAAACCTTTTCAATGCATTTCAATGGGGGAGAAAAAAAATCAACAAAAATTCAAAAAGAGTCAGAACGAAGCCAAATTTGGTTAACAAAGGGTTTATTAAGTGCACTAACGATTTCAAGCACTCTAAACCCTTTTTAAACAATTTAACACCTTTAAAAAATAGCGAAAACGGAGCTGACAAAAACATCGCTATGCGAACACAGGGGGACCTAAACTGTCGTCGCTAAGCGAAGCAAGGTCCTGAACATCGCTATGCGAAATTACCCCATTGGAAACATCGCTAAATGGAGCACAAGATCGCTCCAAAAACCTCATCGCTAAGCAAATACATAGTTAAACCAGGCAATCGCTAAGCGAGGCACCACTGTACTCTGAAAGGTAGTCCTACAGAGGAGGGGTAGGATCTGTCCTCCATCATCCAAGAGTGCAGGACATGTCAGAATGGGCTCAAGTGACAGGAAGCCAGATTTCGGCTGAATAGCAAGAAAAAACATATTAACAGAGCAGTATGACAATGGGACCCATAACCTCAGGAGCTGGCGAGCGCTCCAACGCTAGAGGCATTCAAAGAAAAACTGGATCAACCTCTGTCAGATCTGCCTTGATTTGGATTCCTGCCTCGAGCAGGGGGTTAGACTTGATGGTTTTGGGGGCCCTTTCCAACTCCATGATTCTAGGATTCTGTGACTAACACTCTCAGATGACTTCACCACCGGTGGTGCTGGTGAGGATTTCTGAGTGTTTTAGTCCAAGAACATATGGGGACTCAAGGTTGGGAACTCCTGAGCTAGAGGACCAAGGTAACAAGTCTTTTCTGGACAAGATCAGAGCAATGGCCTACATTTCTTAAGGTTCATCTACATGGCAAAATTGGCACGGTCTGATGCCGGTTCATGGGGCTTGAACATTGGCAAGGGTGTTGAATTGTGTTGCTGTACTTTAAAAGATTTCATGGAAAGGATTCCAAGATTTTCACCAAACCATAAATCTGAGCATTGGATGCTTGAAATGGTATTAACTGGATATGAATGTGTCCCAAAGAGGGGCCCTCAGCTTTGCTTCTGATCTTCTTCCCCAGCTCTGGATCCAGCCATTGCAGCCGTCACGGACACCCCGCTGCTCGAGCTGAATCTGAAGGACTTTGTGGTTAATTTCACCATCACCAACCTGCCGTTCCACGGGCCAATGGAAAACCCGGATTCGGAGGTCCACCGGAACGCCAAGACAAGTATTGAAGGAGAGGTATGTGTCCCAGAAAAATGGACAGAAATGTAGGTAGAAATCTCCTTGAGCCATCCTCTTCTGTTGCTCCAAGTGGTTCAGAAACACAACTCCCATTGTCCTTCCCCCACTGGCTGGGACTGCTGGGAATTGTAATCCTTCCCTCGGAGCAGAGTCAGGTTCATCCAGATTAATGCTTCCCCCCTCCCCCCAGTTTCTAAACTGTGTTTAACCATATTTTTATTAATTTCTCCTGGGTCCAGCTTACACGGCTTTATGAACAGAGCACTTTAAAGACCGAATTCATAGGGTGCTCAGTGGAACACCTCAGGTGAGTTTTTTTAAAGGGATTTTTTCTCTCTACCAGCATCATTTAATTAATGAGATGAAAGCATTTTATAAAAGTGAGACCCCCTGTGTTATGGTGGACAAATGTCCAACGAGAACTTAGGAGACCTGGGTTCAAATCCCAGCTCGACCATGGTAACCCACTCACTCAATGTGGCTCACTCTTTTTTGAAAAAAAGATGTATAATAGGATCCCTGTTATCTGAAGGGGATTGGTACCAAGCCCACTTGCAGATGCTGAAAAATGTGGATAATAGCAAACACTATTGTAATAGCAAATACTGTACATAGCATGGCCTCTGACTCCCTCTAGTGACCAGTTTTAGCAATATCACCTTTAGAAATATATATTGCTAGGATATTTCTTTTAATATTTTCAGACAGTGGATAAGTGAATCAGTGGATAGTGATCCAATGAATATGGAGCCCCCCCCCCTGTATAGCAGCAGTAGTTGTTTGGGTTATTCAACATTTCATCTCTTCCCATTTTCTCAAAGTGCAACTGACTGGAAAGATCAAACCGGCGTCGGTGCTGTCTGTGCATTTGAAGCCAATTCTGGTCCGAGGCATTTGGACGAAAGGGTTGTGTACGACATTTTTAACAACCTGACCAACAACTGCTCCATGTTGGGGAAATACACATTGGATCACAGGAGCCTGGTTGTGAACGGTGAGGAAAGGCCGGCGGTGTGAGATCCATAGACGATATGGAATGTGTTGCGTAAAATTTATGCACAATAGAATTCCTCTTCATTCTTCTGTCCTTGATGGTTTTTTCTGCCTTGTTTCATTCCAGGTTATCCCTCATCAGTGGCCCTGATGACCGAGGAAACAGGTAACTATGAGGCGATGGGTTTCTTCTCACTTGTTTGAGTCCCTGAAATCAATTCAGGACCTTGGACAGCAGCTTTGAAGTCCATGGCAAGATCAGGAGTGGCTTCTATGAACCCACGAAATTGGATTCGTTGCTCCTTCCACCGCTGCTTGGGGAAGGTCTCGCTGCGGCTCAGTTTTCAAAATATTAATCCTCTCTCTCTCTTTTTTTCAAAGGGCTTCCTTTCTGGGCCATCATCCTCATCTGTCTCTCTGTCCTGCTGGGATTCATACTCCTCTTCGTTATCTGCTGCTTGGTAAGTCCGTGGTTTCAAACGTGATCCACTGGGTGGAAAGCCCAGTCATGAATCCCACTGCCGGCCCATTTATCCGTCCCTTAATTATAACTCATGGCAAATCAAGGTATCTGGAAAAACCTCGAAAACAAATATTCAAGGCGGGAGTATGGCTAAAACTCTATCCCATTGGGGTCGGCCAAGCCGATAAAATGGTGATGAGGTTGGTGCATTTATGTGTAGAATCCTTATTTATTTATACTTTCCTTCCCAAAACCAGACAAACTTTTGTAAGAAAAGGAGAGCCAGCAAATATACAGACCAGCAGGGCATCTGGAATACCTACTTCCCACACCTGGATATGTGGAACAATGGGGGGATATGAATGTCAGAAGGCTTGGCATCAGGAACACTCCCTTATTGGCACAGAACGAACCCACCGTCACGTCCATCATCCCACAAAATAGGAACTACGTTTGCAGCGGGACCAGGAAAGACAATCGCACCCGCCTGAATCAAGATTCAGCTGGGCTTCGGTGCAAAGAAAGAAATGGGGAAAACATCTAGGTGGATTTTGGCTTAAATGGGACATGCCTCAATGATATGCCCTCGGTCAAGAGCCAACGGAGAGAATTGGGAGGATGGGGTCACGCTGCCGTATTTATTTTCCTTTTTATTGTCAATGAATGCACTGTGGAATTTGGACAGTCTTGTCAGAGGCTGGACAAAGCCACCAATCTTTTTTTTTTTAATCAGGGGTGGGGAATCATTTCATCAGAATGTAAAAAAGATGCCGCCCAGGTAAAATAATTCAACCGCTGTTTTCTGCTTGGAAAAGTGGGTGCTTCCATTCGCCTCTATGGGGAGGGAAAAAGAGATTAGGAAGGGAAGCCGGTGGCCTGGGTCTTCCTCCCCCTTCCCTGTAGGGGAAAGAAGAAGGAAGAGTGAGGTTTTATCAAAGATGACATCCTTTAATTTATATCCCTGCCTTGAGCAGGGGGGTTGGACTTGATGGCCTTAAGAGGCCCATTCCAACTCCATTATTCCATGATTCTATGATTTCTCAACCAGCTCCCAGAAAGAAAAAGCAGAACAGAAAAGAGAAAGCCCTTCAGTCAGAGATCAGAAACAGTTTGTTTTCTCCTGCGTCGGAAGGGAAGGATGGATCTGGCCCCTCCGTGGCCCATATCGGGTTGACGGGCCTGAAAATCCTTTATCCTCTGATTGAAGTATTGAAATACGGTGAGATCCTGCCCGGAATGGAAAAGGCGAGGAAGGAGACATCAGGGTATCCAACCTGTATGAACAGTTATAGCACTTTAAAATCCTTAAAAAAAAAAAAAAGAATGATAAGCCAACCCTTGCGGATTTCCCATGTCAACCCGAAGGGGCCCACACAACTGGTTGTGCAACTCGGCTTCCCACCGGCATTCATGCCGGATTTGGGGAATTGGTTTTAAAGCAGGGGTGCCTGTCTTTTATAAATAACAATTTTGCTGCAGTCCAGCACGCCTTCCTTCCCTTCTGTTCTGATCACGAGATGGGACAGAAACCAGATTCCAGAATAATATATCAGGGATGAATAGATGATTTCTCTTTATTTTTTTAAAAAAACATGTATTTAAGAATGGGCCAGATTTCTTACAAATCAATCAATAAATGCAAACAGCAATGAGGAAAAAAATCAGAATTTTTGTTCCAGGGTGTAAGGTCACATCTTTAAATACAACTCTGCTACACACCAATAAAACCAGAATAATCTCCAAATCGCACAAGGGACTAGTTCCCCTCTATTCGGGACTTGTTAGCGTTCACCTGGAGTCCTGTGTTCCATTTCTGGACACCACACTTGAGGAAGGATGATGACAAACTGGAGCAAGTTCAGAGGAGGGGATAACGGATGATCAGGGGACTGGAAACCAAGCCCTAGGAGGAAAGGTGGACAGAACTGGGTGTGTTTAGCCTTGAGAAAACAAGACTGAGGAGAGCATTTTTCAAATACTTAAAGGGTAATCCTACAGATGAGGGGCAGGATCTGTTCCTGATCATCCCAGGGTGCAGGACACATCAGAATGGGCTCAAGCGACAGGAAGCCAGATTTGGGCCGAATATCAGGAAAAAACTCTTAACCGTTAGAGCAGTACGGCAATGGGACCCATGACTTCGGGAGGTGATAAGCGCTACAGCGCTGTGGAGGCCTTCAAGAGAAAACTGGATCTGCTTTAATTTGGATCCCTGCCTTGAGCAGGGGATTGGACTCGATGGCCTCAGAGGCCCCTTCCAACTCCATGATTCTAGGATTCACCTAGAATAAACATATTTTCCCTGAGGATTAAACCCTTTACCTAGCCAAAACAGCGCCACACCCCCAAACCTGACACGGAAGCTACGACATTTGTATTTAATCACAAATGGGTGAAGTCACGCTCAGGTTATTAAAGGGGAAAAAATTAAGTTCCTCCTTTCCTCAGTGCAAAGCAATATGCCGATCTACTAAAAATATACTGAAATAAATTCTTCCCCACCTGTATTTCTAGCCCCCTCCGTGCTCAGGTATCCATTTATGCCCCAGTGCTAAGCTGACAACGGTGAAGTCTCATTTTCTTTCTGTAAATACTGTCCGTTTTTCCTGTTCATTTGCTTTCGTGCCTTGGGGGGCAAAAAAGATACTTTCATTCTGAGTGGGTTTGGTCAGATGCGTTTGGGCGTCGCCTCGCTTTGAGAGCGCGAAAAACTGAACACAAGCCTGTCGTATTTCCTCCACAGAGCCGAACGATTGGTTTGGTTCGTTTAAGAAAAAAATAAATCCTGCTTCTTCATAGACACCCAACTTAACGATGGAGTTTTGC